GCACACAATTCACCCCAAGTAAAGTAATAAATAGGGCATGTTTATTCAGAAATGCCCTTCTTCCAAGCAAAATGTCCTTGCCTGACCCATAAATGACTTGCTCAAATTTTCAGATCCAGGAGAAGCATTATGCCAAGGCCAGGAGTGGAAAGCACCAGCCATCCTGTGGCAGATGACAGGTGTGTGATTTTGCATGGCTAGCCCTGGGCTGGTGCTCAGTCCTGTTGGGATGATTTCTCTCCATGTCTGTAGGGTACTTTCAGCCACGGTGGATTGGCTTTAGCTTTTCATGTTCTAGTTAGCTGTGCCTTCAGAATTGCCAATTTGCCCATTTAAGCCCTCTGTGTTTGAGGTTTTCCACAAACTCCTGCAGTCATGTGAGAAATTTAGCTATTACTAAAAGGTTTTAGGTTTTGTGAGAATAGAAAAAAACTTCTAAGCATGAATTGCAAATGCCAACTTCACAAACAAATAAAATGAACTTTTACGTTCATTAAGCTTTAACATCTCCTGGTTTTCTAGGACATCATTTCTGACTTGTGACTATTTGGGCTTGGCAGCACTACTGCTGACTCTTCGTGCATGTAGGCTGCATTTCTGTTGCTTGGTTTGACATAGCCCTGGGAGACTTATTTCCACTCTCTGTGCATTTGTGACAGCCTGGGCAGAGCAAGAGAATCTACTTTTCAATTCAAGTTTTTTCTTTCCCCTTATTTTAGCTTCAAACATTTTATCTTTTAGGATATAAATTTGGCTATTATTCTTAAAACATATTATAATGCATGGTATAATTATTGGTGATAAGTTGTATAAATCACTGGATAAGTGTGTACAAATTGGCATTGGATGGACTGGAGGGATATTTTGACAGTGGCAGGTTAAGTATTAGAAGGAAAATTAGACCATGCAATAATTTTGAATCTGCATGACAGTTTCTGAACATTGACTTTGCACATACTTTTTTTAGGTTCTCCTTTGGTGTCACACATATGTTGCCTCCTCTTGAAAACAGAGGTTGACATCTGAAGGCCAGTGCTGTCACATTCTACTAGATGGTCATCAGTTTTGTCAGAGGACACAGTTTTACTGACTTCTACTTAAACTTTTCATTTTTTATTAATACGAAGATATATACTAGTTTCTGGACCTTGGCCAAAGACTCTGAGGTCTTGTAAATTATATTTTACAAGTTTTTTAGAAGGGAAAAGACAAGAACCCTTTTCTTTGATCAGGTAAATGTGTGACTATAATAGTAGTAGAAGTATCTTTGAAGTGTTTTCCTTCACATTGCATAGAAGTCCCTTAAGTATAAAGCACCAAAGAACCACACCCAAGAAGGTCTAAGGTAATTTTGTTGTTTGTGCTATGCTGGAATTTTTTTGTTTCAAGAATGTTTGTCTAATAGGGCATGGTTGAAATGACCCTCTTAAAATCTACCGTTAAAACTTGAAATGACACAAGCTTGAATCATGCAAGCAAAAGGGCATTACCTTGGATTTATGTGCTTGAGTCTCTTGGCACAGGCAGAGCATCCAGAAAATAGAGTTTTAACCAGTAGAAATGCTCCCAGATTCTACAGGTGTGTTGCTGTAGACCACAGTCCGAACATGTCTCCCTTCTTTCCTACCTGAGAGTAGACTCATATTGGAACATGTCCAGTGCTTTAATGAATTACAAACCTGTAAAATATTTCTTTCCCTCTGCCTGTAGGAACTGCTCTTTAACCTGTCAGTGAGACGGTACAAATAGTCACTCGAGACTGACTCACAGAGAAGTATGTTGTACATGGAAACAAGGGCTGTGCCACAGAGCCAGTCCACTATACCTCAGCCACATACTGGAATGCAGTGCCAAAGGATGGAAAGAAACCTCATGGCCATGCTTGATGCCAAGCACATGTGTGGGAGCTTCTTGCCAAAGCAGATAGGCAAGAAAAACCTCAGGCAGGAGCTGGGGAGAGAGCTTGGGGTAGGGTCAGGCAGGGAAAAACATTCCTGGCATTTCTGCTCCTGCGCTGCACAGGGAAAGTGATGCCAAACAACACACGCGCCATTGGCATCTCCAATTACTTCTGCTTCTGCAAGTCATGAACCATTCCACTGAAGCCAATAGCACCTCATTAATGTTAAACTGATGTGAATAAAAGGCGACCAGGACATATATGTTTCGATACCTTTATACCACTGGGTCTGATTCTACTTTTACTACACCAGTTTGATATTGATACAGCACTTCTGGCTTCTGTGACATGACTATGTATTTAATGTGGGTCAGCAAGAGCTCACGCAGCTTCATTTACTTCAAATATATGTGCCTATGGCTGTTGGGAAAGGATGGGTCTGTAAAAGAAGAACAGAAAATGGGAAGTAAGGATAGGAAGGGGATCAAGAAACAGGTCAAGGATGGAGCTTTTTATTTCTTGTCCACGTTCGTCTATCACTTGTTGCCTTTGTCAGTGAAAAATTGGAGAGATGAAAGAAGGGAATGTCTCCTGAGTTAGTGGTTGTCTTCAGGCTGAATGAAGCCCTGGAGTAGGAGCATGCTAGTCCTCCCTTCTTCCTTCAATTCAGCTGTTCTGTGTGCTGGGGAAAAAACCCACCACTTCTTTTTTTTTTTTTTTTTTCAATACAGAATAGGAAAGAACTACAAGGAAATGGAGCAGATCATTTTTTCCAGTTTGCCTTGGGGTTTCCTGGAATTTTTGCTACTGTACATTTATTTAAAGTAACTCTATCTGTTTAAATACATGCTGATCTTTGGCTGCTCTGAGATCAGAATCAGACCCGAAGAATGCCTTTGGCTTTGCAGTCATTTTTGTATTGTCAGTTCCTCCTCCTCACCCCCTGTCACGCTGACCTCTGTGGTGTCAGGTGACAGGAGGATAAACTGCAACATATGTGGTCCAGAAAGCAGGTTATGATCCAAACCACTGCAGAAATTGTGATGTGGTGTCAGTCTCCTCGAGGATGACAAAGCAATCTGTTTCCAGATGAAGGTAGATGTAAGATAAATGTTTGACTGCTATTTTATTTTTGTTGGCATTAACCAGACACTATTACTATTTTGTGGCTTTGTCACCACCAATTATGACCTAAAATAACATCATGGACTGCAAAGTGTTATGATCCAAAACTCCTATGGCTCTTCACAGTGATACTGTGAATAAATAGGATGAACTCCAATGATTCAATAGTACATGTTTAATAAGACTTCACAAAGTTATATCAGGCACTTAGAGAGGATGTTTAGAAATGAAGGCTCAATCCTTGAGTATCTAACCCAGATGAACTGCCTCCTTAATTCTGCTGATACAGTATGTGCAACAAAGGGTTTCCTAGACCTTTTGAAAGTTTTTTTGTTGTGCATGCATTTAAATAGTCAGTGCAATTGTCATTGTTACATACCCAAATGAAAACAAATCTTTTCTAGTGAAACTTAGGATGTTATGCAATAAACAGAAATTTATTGTTTAATCCTCCAACCAAGCGATTGCACAGCAAATGGAATTAATTGAGATTTTTTGTTGGCTGTCTCAGTTTCACAATAAGCATGTTTTTATTTGAGCAATGTATTTATATAATAAAATTATTTCAACAAAAAAAAAATTATTCAAATGGAGCAGCTTTGTTGTAAATCATACTGCACTTTTTTTTCCTTAAATGTAATTTATATCAGTATCATTTGTTAGAGCTGGGAAATCACTGAAATCTTCTTAAAAAGGTAAAATGCTTTACTTTTTTATTGTCTAGACTATATGTAAGCCATTGCTAATTAATACTGCCCTTTCTGATGGCTTTGCAACAGGCTTAACTCAAACAAACCAATTGTAAATGATTTTTCAATGTAAACTTTTAAGAATATAGCCTAAGGGCTTGCTCAACATAAAAGTACAATTTACAAAACATAAGTTTTAACTAAGGTCAGGATATATCAGGCGATGATGGATGTACATGTAAAAACATCTGACTGCGGAATGACAACATTTTCTTCAAGACTAAGCAAAATGTTGGTGGCAATGATAAGCAGAATGAAAAATAGCCTTGAATGAACTAGCCAGAAGGTTCAAGGTCTGGTTTGCTGGTTTGTTTTATTTTATCTCATTTTGGTTTAGGGTTCTTTTTCTGTGTGTTTTGGTTTTCTTCAGAGTTTCACAAATCAAAGTTCCAGAGATGCTGCAAGCAGTACAGCCTGAGTTTTAAACCTGTTCTCTACAGAAGGCCCATGACAAAGTCAGACTTTTCAATGTCATCTGTTGTCTTGGGTCTCAGATAGAAATTTGCTCCTTTCTTTCTTCTAGCTGCTTAAGCAGAGCCTCTCCACTGTAGGACTGTGCCACATGGTGTGGCACTGACTAATGTTCATGGTACAGTTCACCTGGCTTTAAGCTGCCAGCTACTGAATGGAAGATGTTATGTCACTGTGATGCAAAGCACTAATCTAGTATATCCTAATGTCACCGGTTTAAGCTTGTTCACCGTTTTGGAGGGGTAAAGTCTGGTGAGAAGGTTTCTGTTTGAATAGGTGGTGCTTGACTGCTCCACACTGTCTTTTAAGACTATTCATCCTTATTGTCTGTCTTTCAACAGCCTGAGTGAAGTTGGCACAAGCTTGCATCATGTGCTGTATCTAATTTGGCAGAAGCAGTCACATGTCCATAGTGTGATCTGTATCAGATTTGTATGGCTGAGTCATCTGGTATCAATTCTTGTGGAGCAAAGGCTCCATAGCTCCATAGCTGCAGATCCTCACATGTTCCCAGAGCTCCCGCTCCCGTCTTGTAACTCATTTTTCACAGTTCTGCTGTAGCCTCCCTCCTCCAGCATCTTCCGAACTTATCCAATGCCTTTTCTGTAGCTCGGGAACATCTTTTCCCAGGCACACATGTCACCTCATCCTGGATTCAGCAGCCCAGTAAGTCACAGTGTGGTGTCTCCACAGCCTCATGTAAAGGGGTTGGAGAAAATTGTTTCTTATCAAGCCACTTCCTTCTCAGCTGAAAACCGTTGTGCTGGTCATCGACCTACCACCCGCTGTGACTGCACCTGGCTCCTTCACCCACAAGGTGAAATGAAAGACAGCCAAAGACATGCCCATGGTTTCAGAAAATGGAGGTGGAAACTGTACACCGGAGCCCGGTCAGTGGGTTATCAGCCAAGTTCTGACTGAAAGTTTGTAATTTTGTTGAAGCAAAACCTAATTTTGCTGATGAAGAAAAGGCTTATTAATTTTATTTTTAATAAAAACACTGTTGCCTTCTTTGTCATTTATTAGAATTCCAATCTTATTGACCAAATAGGGTGTGTATTTTAGTTGTTGGCGAAACGCAATGGATGCTACTTGGAAAAACAAAAAGCGCAGCTTAGTTGAGTTAGAAACATTTATAACTTCTGCTATCATACTTATTTGTTCTCTCCTCTTGTGAGAGAAGTCATACCACTGATGCAGTCTCCCCTCTTTTTTTCTTGTCATCTATAACTACACTGAAGGGCTTAATAACCACACATTTTATCCAGTTTCTCGGCTTGACGACAGGCATTGTTTAATGGGAGTACAATCAGTGTCCTGGCTCTTTGAGAGAGCCAAGGCAGTGCTCACAGTGGAAATCACTGAAAATAAACATGTGGGAGCTTAAATGCTCTTTAATAACTCCTTCTGCTTGTTTGGTTAGCAATTTTGATGATTTTTGTCCGTTGTGTCTGGCTCTGCTGCTGTAGAGACATGGTTATTTATGTTTCCAGAGGAAGTCATGATCTCTTTATATAAACTGTGAGACAGAGGTAGAATATAGTAAATTCTGATTCAGAGTAAGCATTTTAATTTTGTAGCTCTAAGGCCAAACCCAAAGATCCATAAACAAGCAGCACAGGGTAGATATTTTTCTCACCAAGTTTTAAATCATTAACTGTTGATAGTGTTAACCATTAGATCAAGAATTGGCTTTTAGTCTACAATAAAATTAGGATATTGATTAGGATACTCCTGTGCCTAGTACCTAGAAAAGCTATGGATTTGTTACATAGGCACACTACAGGCAGGTCTTTTCTATAGCTTTTATTTCTTAGGTACTTATATCTACTAATAGCAAGATGATGTTACAAAATGGCACTACCTGTGTGGTGGAAACAGGTGCTTATTTCCTTCTCAGAGATGCCATGGGTTGATGTATGGAGCTTGGGATGCTATGTGCTTGACTGCAACTGTATGTTCTTCATCTGAAATGAAGGGTTTAGAAAGATCTCAGCTGGCTTGCAGCATTACAGTCCTTGAGTATTATAACTTTTGCAGTGCTCATGAAGTATTTTAGCAAGCACTTGGCTGCTGTTTATCCCTCAACAATACCCCAGACTGCTTGCTCCCCCAAGAAACATGGACAGTTTCCCTGAGACCTCTGGGAAGGGCTCAGCCTTGCCACAACAAAGAGCTCGAGCTCAAATTCCACTTCTACTGTCTCTCCCCAACAGGAATCTGCAGAAGCTTTGCTCTGCAGTGTGTGATGGCTGTGGCATTTCCTGCGCCACGGCCCAGCTGGGGCAGGGCAGGGAGGGAAGGTGATAATCCCCTTGGTGTTAGCATTTAGCACCTATCTGGCAGCACACCCTATGCATGCCAGGAGATTAGCACTGGGACAGAGCTACGCTGTCTGGAAACTTTGCCATCAGTGAAGTGAAACATCACTTTAAATTAGGATAGTGTGTGAGAGTGCTGTTGACATGTACTCAGACAATCCTCAGAGCTCCACTGATGCTCAGGGTACCAGCATTTGTCCCAGTTGGTGGTCCAAAGCCCTGGAGCACCAGAACATACCACAGAATTAGTGTTTCAATACCCAGTGCCTGATTGCACAGCAATGGCACAGTGACTGGCTGCTCAAAGCTAATTTTCAGGAGACTTGGACACCTGTCCTAATTGAGGTAGTGAATATGCCACCCAGTCTCAACCTCTGCTTGGGTGTCCTTTCTTTTAAGCACATTGGTGAAGGACAGTGCAAAATGTTCCCTAGACCTTATTAATAAGGGAAGCAGTTTTCCTTCAAACCTTCTTCAGAAAACCAGCACATTATCAGGCAGCCTGGAGTGCACTCTGTCCTCTTGCATTATATGAGTGATTCAGATTTTTGCATAATATGTTTAATTTGCAACTTATGTATGTGGTAATTTGGGAGACATTTGAGTAGGACGTTTCCTTTTCTTGCTACTGCTAGTGCTTGAAATGATGAAAATTTATTCATTCTTAAGTGAAGTACATGGGGAAGAGTAGCCAAGAGCTCTGGCTGTGGGAAGCGGAGCCAGCAGTGTATTCAACAAAAGTATATATTAATATGGAACACAAGGGAGGAATGTTTTTTTTTCTCTTTCTTCACTGCTTTATTTTGCAATGACAGAAGCTGCCTTTAAGAGACAAGAGTAGGAATTTTTGAACATGCTCCCTTTTCCTTTCAAAACCTTAATGTTACCAGTGGGTCAGTTTAGCTGGCTATTTTACATGTTTCCACAGAGCCTGTTGGGGAATGCTGTGAGATGAGTATTGATCCTGCCCCCCAGCAGGAGCAAATTGCTTCTGCCCTCCTTACCTTTTTTTGGTTTAGGGCAGCTTTTTATAACATTATTTATAATTTCTCACGTATAATGGTTTGTGCATTATATATTTTATTTATTATCAAATTAAATAGGTAAACGGCAAAAATCAGAATCTAATTTTATTTACTATATTCTCAGTTATATTTTTTCCAGATGTTTGGAAACAGTCAAAATATGAAGAAATGCCAAGTAACAAATATCTAGGGCACCTCACAAAAGTCCATTAGTGACCTCCTGCTCTTTCAAAAAGACTTGCTGATTCAGTAGCATTCAGTAGCCTAGATGTTGCTCCTCATGTGTGCATACACACACATAAATGCATGTGCACACACTTGCACATACACACAGAAGCATAATGGTGCCTGATGGTGCCTGGAAATGCGTCTGGAATGGTGTCTGGAATGGTGTCTGGAAACCCCAACAGTGTTGGCAGGCTGGAACCAAAACCTAACCATCACCTACCCCAGTGCTGTCTCTGCTATGCAATGGTGTTCATTACAGAGCATACTTTCAGTCTGCCAATACCAACACACATCTCTTTAGTCCCTGCTGTCCTGACAATTTCTCATCTTCCTCTCTATGTGGATTAGTACTTTAACCCCGCTTTTTGCCTGCTCCTCATCAGTGGTACTTGCTCAACATCTGCTCAGAGATGTCTTGTGAGGAAATGCCCGGCAAATCGCCCCGTGGTTTGCAGAATGAATTCCCTAATGACGCTCTCATTAATAGTGCTTGCTGCCAAATGCTGTTTGCTTTTACTTTCAGAGCTGTCTGCATTAATAATGAGTACCTCCACTTGGAAATTATTTACATGAAGTATTGTGCTCATGTCATTGTCACAGGCAGCAGCTTCAGACTGGGTGAGAGTGAGACCCTGCAATGAATTCCTGGAGCAGCTCAGCTGCTGTGAATGCTGGTTACCCTGTCAGCAGCACACCCCTGCCCAAAGGTGAGGCTGCGTGGCAAAGGGATTATGGCAGTTTCCCAGCAGCACTATTGCACGTCAGGAGCTAGAGTCTTCAGGACAAACTAAATGCAAATTGATATTAACAATACATTTGGGTCCAGATAGATAGAGGAGATATATATGGATGTTACACACAGGGGGCACATGGGAGGGCACGATGGTGTAGGCAAGACCAGTAGAAATGACCAGCAAAAGCAAACGCCAGACCACAGTTATCTCTGCAGGATGCTTCTGCAGAAAGCTGTGAATTTCCATACTCTCCTGGCTGCCCTATCTGAGACAGAAAGTGCTTGATTACTTCACAGCAAAAAAGTCCCGGGAGAAGCAGAACTATTTCTTGTGATAAAAGCTGGCTGCACAGTTAGGGAAGATGAGCTTGTCAGGGGTGCTGCTGCACTCAGGCTGAACCTGTGGGAAGTGTGCCTGTTCCTAATAAATGTTATGTGTATTTATGTGGCAGTCATTGTGCTTTGGAAGGAGGGAGTCACAGAAATAATTAGTTAAGAGCGTGATGTTTTTGGCACAGATTCCCTTTCTCAAGTAGCTGTGATGTTCATATATAAGAAAAATTGATTTGGCAACTAGACAGGATTTCAGCACGCTCTTGGTTATGGAAATCAGCTATGGGCATGGAGGAAATCTGTATATTGATTCATAAACTGACTTGATGACTTGTTCATGCTGTAATATTTTCATGGGCTTTTACCCAAAATAAAAATGTCAGTAGGTACCACTTGACTGTGCTACAACACCGTCTAAAACGGTGGGAATAATGCAGGGAAGAAAAGGGATTTCCCATTAGACAGAAGCCTTTGCTGTCTGTGCTAATTATTTTTTTCCTTGAATAACAAGTTTTTCTCATTCCCCTCATTTATTGTGTTAAAATGTGTATGTATAAAACAGCCAGGGAAAAATGGCTTCCTATGGAAGACCCTCAGCTTCAGGGACATTCCTCTTTCGCAAGAGCTCAGGAAAACCAGTCCTGCTTCTACTCATACAATCATGTGGCAATACTGCTAGAACTGCCATGACTACCTGTCTGTAATAGTCTGAGAATAACTTTACTTTGATATCATGTAGTAGGCAAAAACCAGCATGTCTTGCTGACTCTTCTTTTGGCCAGGCTGGTTAGGGGAATGTTTAGTCAGCATCATCACTGATCCAAGACTGCCTTGTGGAAAACACCTACTAATACACTGACTCCTCATGAACATGTTTCTCTGCAGGTTTGAAATCCTAATCCTTGAATAATACCTCCTCCTCCTTCACGGTTTTGTTTGGAGATGTTCCAGTGCTGCCCGATCTTGACCCTATTTGACTTAAGGTATGTAGGCTCAAAAGAGAGACAGTATGGCTGGTAGCCATTATTAAAATGAACGGAAACTATGTCATGTATAGTTTCATTTAAGATCCACTGTGATAACAATAAGCGATCAAATTCTGATCTCACTTACAGCAGCATGCTTCCGTTGTGACTTCAGAGAAAATCAATGGGTGCAATGTGAGATGAGTCACCACACATACACTGTGCCATAGCAGAACAGTTTTCTCCATAAATAATGTCTCTTTTGGCAAGACACTTTAAAAAAAAAACCCTGAAAATCTATATTATATTGAACTGCACAGGTTTAAGAAAGAGGCCTTATACATAACAGTACATTTTTGAACCTGAACGTTGTTCCTTGTGGACTAAATCTTCCCTTAAGACAGTTAGTTACTCATTTTCACAAGATTTCTGCAAGTCTTTTCCATGATTGGTGCGTAGGATTAAAAGATCTCTGGGGCCTTGTTTGAAACTACTGTGTTTGGACACCACCTTATGTACTGAAAGCACTTATGGAGAAATGATGTCTCAAGGTGGACTGTTAGAAACATGGGGGAATTTTCATATCCTCAGGTAGAGACAAGAAGGCCATTTTGTCATTTGATGCTTGGCTTCTTGCTGCTTGCTAAATAGTCTGCCAAACTTGTGGTTAACAAGTGATTTAAATGTAGTCTGAAGGCAGCTTTTGTTTCCTTCAACTGTTATTTTAAGAAAAGTAATAGAATCATAGAATCATATGGGTTGGAAAGGACCTTTAGATCATCTAGTTCCACCTCCCCTGCCATGGGGAGGGACACCTCACACTAAAAAGTCCCTTCAAAATAATTGACTAACTGTATAATTGATGTTGCCTATGCAGTGTGTACCAGCCAAAGCTAATGGGTAGTGAGAGCATTGGCATCTTGGTAGAGGCTGCCCTAAACCCTTCAGAGAACCTCTGCCTGCCCTCCCTTTATGCTCTTGGGTAGGAGAGGGCATGTTTAGTTTTCTGCTTACTCTATTCCCTTTTGTACTTGTTCATTTGCTAGGTGCATAAAGGAGAGGAGGTCACTTGTGCACATGGGATAAAGAGGTATTATGAATTCTAAAGTGTTTGCTTTATCGGGAAAAGCTCAGCGAGCAGGAGAGTGCAGGAACATAATGTGTGAATTTTTAATGAATGCTGTGCCAAGTGTTTGTGCTTTTTCTTTCTACCTGTAGCAGCTTTATTCATCTGGGAGAGTACTGCATACAAGATATTATTTAGTAGTATGCTGGCTGCTGTTTAGTTTTAATAAATTAAATCCTTTATATCAATGTAATATTCCTTAGACAAGCACTTCCAAGACAGATTAGAAATGAACTTAAGGGGATTAAAAGCGTCTCTTGCTAAAAACCATGTTTCAGATTGGAAATCCACTTATTTATGTCACTTTCAGTGGACTACATTTGTCTTTAATATGTTGCTACTGCTAAAGAAAGCAGTGTTTTGCCCATGACTGCAGCCTTTCTGCTCTGCTTTACATACACAGCAATGTTTATTTTCTTCAGTACAGTAAGTTGCTTTGGGAAAGATTGATGGCTTCCCATAAAACTGTGAGCAACCATTTTCTTTCTGATTTACAGAAAACAAAACATTTAATGGATCTGGCATTTTAAACAGCATCAGTCTCTTTACAAAATAGGAAACTGCATGAGTGAAAGGTGTGAGTAGAGAGAAAAATCTGCTTTGATTTTCCCCTTGCAGTGTTGTAGCAGGCTGAAAAGATCAACTGGAAGGTTGTTGCTTTCTGTGAAATCCTGGACATCTTGGAAGCAGCCTGGTTTAGCTGGTGTTAACTCAGGTCTGCAGCAGACTGAGGGGAGGCACTAGCTCTCTCTTCTAACTTGTACCAGCTTATCTGTTTCTATGTCAAACACTTGTCCTAGCACATGGTTCAATGAATGCCAATCCCAGTGGGAGGGCCTCTGGTATACCAACCCAAAATCTCTTGAATACGTCATGCAGAGGTTTGCTATACCACCACTCTGCAGTATAAAAACTGTTGCTGGGCAGTATGTATGAAAGATCAAATGCTGTCTTGTCCATGCTTATCCATTGCCCCATCAGTAGGTGTCCAGCCACCAAAACCTGAGTGCTTTGGTCAGCCCAGCAAAACCACAGCCATACCCCTCTCCAGAGCTTTGGCATGTTTGTTCTGCTGGATATCTGGTCGTGCACAGATGACTATGAACATTAACAGGAAACCTTTCATTCCTAGGCTCTGGTAGGAGCTTCTTATTAATCACCAACCAAATCAGACAATACTGACCTGGAAATGTCTGGATGCTCCCTGATTGTCTCACACTGTGAAATTTCAACAGGGCAGGATCCAGCCCTGTGGAATAAATGAAGAGGATCTCATGGCAGATGAACAATTATAAGGTTGAATATTCTGAGTATTCACACAGTTTAAAGACCATATTTCAGCCCCATAAGAGACAATAACAGACTAGGATATGTGTTTGGCAATCTGAAATTTCACTTCATCTCCCAGACTACAAAAATGCACAGTTTTGGAGTTTACGTCCCACAGCTGTTGAATGCAATGAGGTTAGAAAAGGTCCTAGGTCAAGAGGGTGAAAGAAGGAAGAACTCTTTTTGAGAATCTTCACAAGGGACGGAGACTGGGGAGCCTTTCAGGACAATTTGTTTTTACCTTTTCTTAAGTGAGTTAAAAATCTTTGCTCTACAGTGAGGACAGAAAAAATTATGAGAGTAAATTGAAAATTAGAAATAATATGAGAAATGAATGTTTTAATCAGAATGAGGTCTTTCAGTCTATTTACTGCTGCTATTTGCATGTGAGATCATGGAACTTCAATGCTTGCTCCTTACATGACAGCACCAAGAGCTCAGTTGCAGTTTACAGGTATGTTATTCAATTGCTTTGCAGATAGGTTGGGCAGAGGGAGAGGTTCAACCCCACAGCACATAAGGTTTGTCTTGGTAACTGCATCCTGGAGACAGTGCTGGATTTTGTTACTTTAGGCACACCTCCCACCATCATTACTTAAAACAGTTTCAGAATAATTTCTATTCCATCTTATACAGCAAAGTATTGATACTCTGTACAGTTTTGGTCAGTATTCAGACACTCTCTGTCAGCTTTTCATGCCCAGAAGCCAATCCTCAGATTGAATTGTAGGGCATCTGATCAAGCAAGGCTGCATTTTCAAAGCAAAACTCAAAGATTGAGTTGCTTGATTCCACTGATATTCAAAAGGGACCTACAGTGAGGTTTTGTATTAACCTTGTATTCCTAGGACTGTATAAGAACAGGCTGGCAAGCAGAAATTAAACCACGATCTTTATTTAAATTATTTTCTTCTGTTTTGTTTTCTGAAGGTAGATCTCATTCATTTCCCCAGACCCACATTTTTTGCTCATCATAGCACTGACCAGCCATCTAAATCCTTATATAATGCACATGGTAACAAGAGCTGACTGAAATTTCACCGCTAGTTTTAGACTGGAGAGGGTAGATTCATTTTCTGCACAGTAATGATGCACTCTACTGCCAGTGTCCCCACTATGTGTGCACTGGTCATAAGACCTGGGGATAAAACTTATATATATTGCCACACAGCTTATATGAAACAAAAAAAATCCTTAACATTCAAGAAAAAAATACATAATTAGGATCAGGGCTGGAATTTCACTGGGAAATGTGGTGCAAAAATTGGTTCTCATTTTAAATTAAGCTTTCAATGGCAAGTGCTTGGCTTTCAGCAACTCCTCTGAAACTGTTTTAATTGAAGTTCCATGAAAATCTGGGGAGTTCAGCTCAAGTTCACCTCCCAAACCCATCCTGATTTCATTAAAGATTTGATCTTTCTTTATTTGCCAATAAAATATATACGTGGTAAACATATGTGTGTATAAATCAGTATCTGCCATGTAACTGTTTTGGTTTGATTTTTTTTTTGTCTTTTTTGTTTGTTTTGGTTCTTTATTGTTTGTTTCTTTTGGTTTGTTTTTGTTTTAAATAAAGAAACAGTTTCCCTTTGTTTATGAAGGATGAGCTCTGCTCTGTGTATGCAATAAGAGATTGAAGGAACAGTCCATGGGAAATCCTTCCTATTGCCCCAGGTTGGGATTTGGAGTGCAGGACACACTGCTTCTTGCCAGTTTCTTTTGCACTAGTGTTAATGCAGTGGAAATTCCATGATCCACATGAGCTGGGCATGGAGCTTGCCTTGGTCAAGCTCAGGGTATTTCCATATTATTTGCATGTGACTGTTTTCTATTTCTGTCTCTAAGACCCAGTAAAGGTCTTGATTCCTCATAGGGAAGGGTGTTGTTCAAGCTTTTATCTGGACAATGATTTTATGATTTCTTTTTCTTTTACCCCTTCATCTTCAATCCTTTTCCAGCTGCAGTGACCAGATGTTCCTGTAACAGCACCAGCAGGCTGAGGCTACTTATACCAAGGCACATTATCACTTCGCTAAACCAGTCAAATAGTAGGATGAGCTTTCAAAAGTTATCTCCATATATCCAACTCAGTTAGAGAGTCCTTTCAAAGCAGTGAATTTGGAGACATTCATTTTGGCCCTTCAGGGCAGAGTCCAGCATTCCCATTTATATCCTAATGTCACCGGTTTAAGCTTGTTCACCGTTTTGGAGGGGTAAAGTCTGGTGAGAAGGTTTCTGTTTGAATAGGTGGTGCTTGACTGCTCTACACTGTCTTTTAAGACTATTCATCCTTATTGTCTGTCTTTCAACAGCCTGAGTGAAGTTGGCACAAGCTTGCATCATGTGCTGTATCTAATTTGGCAGAAGCAGTCACATGTCCATAGTGTGATCTGTATCAGATTTGTATGGCTGAGTCATCTGGTATCAATTCTTGTGGAGCAAAGGCTCCATAGCTCCATAGCTGCAGATCCTCACATGTTCCCAGAGCTCCCGCTCCCGTCTTGTAACTCATTTTTCACAGTTCTGCTGTAGCCTCCCTCCTCCAGCATCTTCCGAACTTATCCAATGCCTTTTCTGTAGCTCGGGAACATCTTTTCCCAGGCACACATGTCACCTCATCCTGGACTCAGCAGCCCAGTAAGTCACAGTGTGGTGTCTCCACAGCCTCATGTAAAGGGGTTGGAGAAAATTGTTTCTTATCAAGCCACTTCCTTCTCAGCTGAAAACCGTTGTGCTGGTCATCGACCTACCACCCGCTGTGACTGCACCTGGCTCCTTCACCCACAAGGTGAAATGAAAGACAGCCAAAGACATGCCCATGGTTTCAGAAAATGGAGGTGGAAACAGTACACCGGAGCCCGGTCAGTGGGTTATCAGCCAAGTTCTGACTGAAAGTTTGTAATTTTGTTGAAGCAAAACTTAATTTTGCTGATGAAGAAAAGGCTTATTAATTTTATTTTTAATAAAAACACTGTTGCCTTCTTTGTCATTTATTAGAATTCCAATCTTATTGACCAAATAGGGTGTGTATTTTAGTTGTTGGTGAAACGCAATGGATGCTACTTGGAAAAACAAAAAGCGCAGCTTAGTTGAGTTAGAAACATTTATAACTTATTGCTTCCCGTGTCTGACTTGTGCTCTGTATCAGTTGTGGCCTTCTCATGATATCTCTATATGCCCTTTTCAAGCAAGGTTTAAGCCAGTTTCTTTTGCACTTGTATTAATGCCGTGAAAATACCATGATCTGCATGGCCTGGACATGGATCTTGCGCTGGTTCCATGTTATTTGCATGTAACCATTTTTTGTTCTTATCTCTAAGACCCAGTAAGGGTCTTGATTACCCTTAAGGAAAGGTGTTGCACAGCCTTGTGTCTGGACAATGATTTTATGATTATTTTGTTTTTTTTTTACGCCTTCAGCTTCATTCCTTTTCCAGCTGCAGATATTCCTGTAACAGCACATAGGGGCTGAGGCTACTTACACCAAGGCATATTACCTCTTTGCTAAACCAGCCAAATAGTAGGACGTCTTAAAAAGTTATCTCCATATATCCAACTCAGTTAGTGAGTCCTTTCAAAGCAGTGAATTTGGAGACATTCACTTTGCCCTTTCTGGACAGAAACCAGTGTTCACATTTACTTCAAAATCTCTGTTGTGTAGATTCCCATGGGACCAAGAGGAAGGATTCCTGGCAATTGCTGGTGTTCCTGTTTTTATTTTGTGTGAGACTCTGGATTAAAATGTTTTAAAAATGGTGTACATCCTGAGTTCCCCAAGGCAGAGGACTGTTACATACTCAAGTCCTGTATCAGTCCACTATGTAGCAGTATGCCAATGTCTCTTCTCTTGATTATCACCATGGTACCATTTTTTCAGTTTTGTCTTCCTCTTGGCATAACTGATACCGGCTTCTTTTTTTTTTTTGTTCTATTATTTTATTCTATTGCCATTGTAAATATTACCTGTTCAACAAGGCTCCTTGCAAGCCCTGCATGTAGCTATCTGCGGTTTTAGTGAATTGGATCTCCGTGTTTCTGTTCAGAGTCCAGCTGGAGCTACACATCTTTGTTTCATGTATTTAATGTACTCAAAATTCACTAAATGATAGTTTATAATACCATTATCAACAGTTAAAGACATTATAACTTCAAGAAATGAAAAGAAAGTGCAGCCATATGTGGAAATGCTTTATTTTGTGCACTTTTAACCCTCACAATAGTTCAGCTGCAAAAATAGGGACAACAACGAGTGGCAGGGAGAAAATCTTATGTCTGCAAAATCATTTTTCAACTTTCCCTCCAGTGCTGTCATGAAAGAGCACTGTGCTATTTGGATGGTAAATAACAACTGAGGACTAATTTATTTTTCTTCATAAAATTATTTCTTGAATTGGATTCAAATGTGTTCCTTATTACATGGTTTGATAATTCAGTGATGCTTTCCCCCCATAACATACGAGCTGATTTAAACCTTCACTCCCAAACAGCCTCAGGCTTATTAAGAACAGTGTGGACTGAGTATGGATTAGGTTTAAAAGTAATAAAAAAGTAGACCTGTTGGTTAGGTGAAAAATTCACTATCAGATTCCTGAGTGCAGCTTTCTTTTCATGTGCAAACTGCATTAAATGAGGCATTTAATTCAACAAATCCATAGTTCTGATCCACCAGAAATAGAGACTGGGTTAGTTCAATTTGTAACAAACGATCTCCATATGATCAAAGTCCTGAGAGCTGATTCCAACATACTGCTTAAATTAGTCTAACACCGAAGTGTTTGGCTCTGGGACAATATTTGGAATGTCTTACCAGAAGAAAAATTCCTCTGCACACATGGTTCCAATATCTGTGAATGCCAGCCTTGCTTTTTAATGGGCTGACAGGGAGCCTCCGTGCTAACTTTCTGACTCCAAAAAGTTCTTGTGCTGTCACCCGCAAACCAGCTTGGATAATTTTTCCTTGGCTTCCTTATTAAAGCCTGAATGAAGGGATTGTGTGGCTTTCTTAATGTCACTTGGTCTGCTTGCCATAAATTCAAGCACTCATGATGAAAGCTCCACTTACATTTCGCTGGAAAATGGAATCAAGGAGAATGCACCCTCGTTCACAATAAATAACTAAAGTTGAGTTATTAAGTGTATTTCATATACCGGTGCCTTATTACATCAGCAGTTTAGATAATGGCTTCTTAAAAATACTCCTCTACTGAAATCGAGGAAGAGCGGGTTGTACATAGGCATCCCGGTGCATAAAAACCAAACCAGCGGCTAGAGCAATAACTTAGGACTGTATTAACAAGTATCAAATATTTACATTTTTACATGCTGCTGTCCGTTTAGATTAAGCAACCATAGCAATAGCAGCAGTTAGCAGCAAGGGCCATATTTGCTCCAGCCCTGCCAGGGAATTCTCAGCTGGGATTGTTTGTTTGCTTTGTGCAATGAAGACTTGAGCTGTTTACATTGTAGCTCCAGTTTTAGAGAGTGCTAATTATGCTCTGCTGTTGAACCCCTCCATTTCTCAGAACCTGCTGTCCTGCAAAAACACTTTACATCAGTCCTGGGGAAAGCAATCTGACTTGTGGCCGGCAACAAAGGGTGCTCCAGTGTGTTATAACTGGGTTTCTTTTTTAATGTGGTAAGCGGCACTAAATGGAACTTTATGCCTTTAACTCCACTTGTCTTTTTCTTTCTTTTTTTTTTTTTTTTCTGAAAGAAAGGACAACATTTTCAAAGTCCTTGGCTGAATTTCCTCTTGCAATTTTACTGCTTTTTATGGAACTTCTTAATGTGAAATTGGCTGATATAATTCAGCCAGAGGGGTCTGTCGGTCTATTTACATACATTAAACATGCATATCATTCTTTATATTTTCCCCCCATTATTATACGTGCAGTGGAATGTAATAAATTGACACTCACCCAGGAACAGACAGAGCTGACAGTGAGTAAATGCCATGATTAGCATGTTATTGTTATAACTTTGCAGTTCCTTCGTGATTAGTTAAAATATATGTTGAATGGCTATGAAATTATTTTTAAATCTGTGCTAAGCATTGCTTGATATTTTATAACAGCCAGAGTGGGAGAAGGAGGCAGGATGAAGGATAAAAGGTTGGCACTCAGAAATTCAACAAACCCGCTGTTTTCATGGTAACTATTCTGAACAGGTGGCTAAGTAAGCCAATTAAACAGACTTTAAGAACAAATTATGATAGTAATCCATTGTCTGGGATCATTGAAATGTGCTGTGAGGAATCTGTTCCCCAGAGCCACCTGAATAATGAAAATCTATTTTTGTATCATTTTATTGTTTTCCTATCATCATTGAATGTTCAAAGGTTCTCACTCTTTTTTCTTTTCCTTTTTTTTTTTTTTCCCCTTAGGGGTGGATGGAGGGGAAAGGAGAGAGAGAGCTTTTTCCAGATTTTTTGAAAAAGGGCGTGATCTAATGAGAAAAAAAAAAAAAATTAACATGTAAGAGCATATTTTCCTTCAAGCAAAACAAGAGTTTGCTCATGAATTTTTGTAACTATTTTAGAAAAAGAGTTGAAAACATTCAATAAATTTATAGACATGCATGAACAAAAGCTCAAAGTTGTTCTAACAGAAATATTTTCACCAGAAAAGTGTCTGGCAAAAGCCAGGAAAGAAAGTGTGAAATATGAGAGGAACCAATAATAGACCCTTAAGCTCTAGCAGAGGGCTCCAGTGATGTAGGGACCTCTTTCCAGTTTTGGGGAAAGTCTATCCAAGGATTGGGAAGACAATGCGCTAAACCATCTGCTTGAGCTAGTTTAGCCCTCTCATTGACAGATCTTTCATTTCAGTGGCATAACTTTAAAGTTAAGACAGGACCTAACAAGTTTTGGGCTGTAACTAGTAGTCTCCAATACAGATCGTCTCCTCTGAATGGTCTTGCTCAGTGATAAGCTGGCATTGATTAAAAAACACACTGATGACCGACAATCACTATACTAAGGGGAGGGAAACAGTAAATTTATGTCTTTTCTTTCTTTTTCTTTTTAGATGTGGGACAGAAAAAAGTTTTCTGATTTCAGGCCATTGTATAACAACAGCTCCGAGCTGCCATGTAGGGCTGCATTTGAACCGCTGACCTAGGAACAAAATAAATTATGTGTAGGCTGAGGTATGGAGATGGTGTGTGACAGAAGAATAGTGCTCAGAAATGGTTTTCATGAGATTCTGTATTCATTTAAGTAATGTAACTGTTTAGCCAATTTATTCATTTGACAAGTTCCTTTTTAACCGTCCTAATACACCATTTAGCCTAAGATGGCCTTCATTAGTTTATTAGATATTCATCGAGAGAGATTTTAGCATAAATACAGTTCCAAAGAGGATTACCACCCAGGGAATCTATTCTTTTAACCTACTTATTCAGCTATCAAGTATTTGTTGAAATGGACTTGTATTTGCTTAGTCTCTTTAATGAAGCCTAGAAAAGCTTTTCTGCAAAGGGAATATTGTTTTGTCAAAATTAGCTTACTTAAATAGTTTTCAAAGCAGTCTGAGAACAAAGATTTCAAAGCTACAGCTCCAGCCTAATATTTACTTTTTACACTGTACAGTAGTTTAGACTTGCCAGAAAAGGTGCACTTGCTTTTTTGTTTTGTTTTGTTTAAATTTCTCTGCTTCTAGTTGTGAGATATATATGTCATTTCTAGGGGTATGGAACTAATTGAGGAATATGTCTTGCCCTTGTTGAGGTGAACAGGGCAGATAAATAAAAACTCCATTGGACATAAATCTCCGCCACTAACATCAAAGAAACAGGATCCTGCTAAGTGTATTTGTATAATGCAGTAATTTATGCAAAAAGCAGCTTTTGTCAGCAATGCAAC